GCACGGCACAATTTTACTTTCGATTCTCTCGTCGGGTTTGGGTGGTTTTCCCGAGATTTCGCCTTGTGGGCAGAGCCGAGCGAGCCTCGGAGAAACGAAAGTCGGAAGCGGTGGCGCTTCCCCTCGGCTGCGCTCTGCCAGAGGAGAAAGGGTGACAGGGCTTCTTCCCGTCGGGAAAAACTTTTCGTTCCAGAGCTTCTGCTGCTTCGGTGAGTCTTGAAGCGGCGGGAGACGGAATGGGGGGTGGGGTGGGGGGACAGGTTTCTCGTCATTGCTGAGGAAGAGCCTCCATGTCTTGAAGATGCCGTTGGCTCTGTATATATGGAAAGTAGGGGGAGGCGAAGGGCGCACTGATATTAATGAAGGCTTTTTTAAAAATTAAATCGGTTTACTAAATTAAATCGAGGTTCGATTCAAGTGTTCTTGAGGAAGGACTCCCTACCCACCCAACGCAACAGATTTCCCTGTGAAATTCCCGGTTTCTTCCCGGAGCTCCGGTTTGTGCAAGCAACGGGCACATATACTTGCACACGAAGCTGGAAAATCATCGGGTTAGATTGTATAGCAGTATAATTTGGATTCCCCCGCACCCCGGAGAGCGGCGATCCTGCGCCAGGTACTGACTCACAGCAGCCCAAGGGAGACTGGGAATTGAAGTCCAACACATCTAAAAGTCGCCATGATTGGAAAAACGGGGCTGTAGAGGATTGATTGGTCGATGCTGATTTCAATTCTAGGTTTGTGAGAGGTGAAGTGTTATTTAGCAACTGATGAGCCCATATTGCCTAGTTAGTTTCCCTTTATAAATGGCACATAATTGTGTAACTGAATTTTGCATGATTATTTTTTTTTTGCCTATACCCAAAATGCAGTTGTGGTTACAAACCAAGCAGCTTAAGCCTTAAACTATAGCAAATCTTGAGTACAAAGGCTGATATTTGGATTTTGTAGATGGCCTTCATTTTGGGTTTGAACAATAGGATAGTATGGTAAATTGCAGATAGAAACCAGCCATGATGGTGAATAAAAGTGGCACGCTAACAAACAGACATTAACATATATATTTTTACTGTTTATTGCAGGGGTCTTCAAACTTGACAGCTTTAAGACTCGTGGAGTTCAACTCCCATAATTCCTCCTCCAGTCATGTTAGCTTAGGAATTCTGGGAGTTGAAGTCCACAAGTCTTCAACTTGCCAAGTTTGAAGACCCTTGGTTTATTGTATTGTGCACAGAGGGCCACTGTTGGTAGAGAAGCTCCTGCTGTCCCTGGAAGTCCTAATTCTGCTGTGAATTCTGTCCCAATTCTTCTAGCTTAGTTTGACATGACAAACCAAAGTACAACATGCTGCAATTCTGTGCATGCTTTGGTATCATTTTTTACTGAACCTATTGCAACCTGAGTTTGAATGTCAAAATATAGATTTTCAGTATATGTCATGAGCCTTCATAGAGTAGGAGCAGAGAAAAACAATTTCCAGCAGCAGTTAGTGGTGTTAAGAGTTATTTTGAAAGCTGTATCTAGATAAAGATAGAACGTTTGATATAGTTATACAATTAAAATATATTCAAATAATAATAATGTATGAATACTAGGAATGGATTTATAAGTTATTAAGTTCTAAAATGGGTAAAATGAACTTGTGTCCTACTCCCAACATCCCTTATAATGGTAACTGGAATCAATGGAAAATGTAACTCTGCAACAATTGGAATGTCACAGGTTCTCCATCCCTTGGAGCAGTGCACCCCAATCTTTTTAGCTCTGTGGTCTGGCGGCAGCAGCATTGGTGACTGTGGGGGGGGGGAACAGGGGATGGCTCTGCGCAAGTGCAAGGTGCTTGCGATCATGCACGAAGCTCCATTTGCACAAGCAGTGGACGTGCGCAGCGGCCACTTGCACAAAATGGAGCTTCGTGTGCAAGTACATGTGCCCGTTGCTTGCACAAATGGAGTTTTTGCCTGCTCGCCTGCCGCCTTGTGCGCCCCAGTTCCCAATGGGCCACAGCCCCACTATTGGGGACTCTTGTCTTAAAGTAGTGAAATAAGGTGGCAAGAAGAGTGGCAAAATGTATTGTGCCCACAGTTTGCCCACTTTTAGGATTATCTGTGCCCTTTTAGGGAAAATAATGAAGACAATATTATAAATAATTGGTTAGAGTCACTCCGATCTGATCTAGTTGAACTCTGGCTGGGTAGGTTCGAAGGAGCTCACTATAATTGGATCTTGTCCTGTGCCTGGGGAAAGTTTGAGCCTGTGAATCTTGCGGAAGTGGACAGGATTTTCAGGAGTTTCTGTATGGCCACATATACATTAGATCCTTGTCCATCCTGGTTGGTTAAAGCTGCCCAGAAGCTGAAGTATGGCTGGGCCAATTCATCTTTGCTTGAAAGGATGTTTCTACTTAGACAGGAAGATAGGAAGTTCCACCTCTTCAGAAGCCATAACTAAATCTAGAAGTGTTGGAACATTTCTCAGTAGTCTGCAGCCTTGGAGGAGGACCCTGGATGAAGTAGATTATATCTTCAGTTAGGCTTTAGGGCCCAGTATAATACCGGTATGGACAAAGCTGCCCTATTATACTTAACTGACAGAGTTAAGAAGATAAACATTTCCGAATTTAAGAAACATCTTTAATGCTAGTTAGAATAAAACATGTTCTTAAAAACTGTGAAAATGAATTTCAAAGCAGCCTTCTAACAACTCAATTAAGATAGAATCTCTTTAGAATATTTCTTTTTCTTGGCCCCCATATCTGGACTACGCTGGTGCTTCACACACCAACTAAATAACCCTTTCTGTTTCTCAGTCAATCACAGTGGCATTGATTGCTCTTGTGGACAACCTCTGGCATGACCAGAATATGGGTAGTGGAAGATAATCTGGTCCTGGATGATCTCTTAGCAACCTTTGGGAGTGCTGGTCATGGAACCCTTGTGGCCTGTGTTTGAAATGCAGAAAAGACAGTATTTCAGTGGTTTTCTTTTCTTTAAGGAAGGTTCCAATTGGTCTTGGTAATAGGGGAAGAGATTAAGTTACCTTTTCTTGTTAGGTTCTTGAGATTTCAATGAACATAATAAAAACCATGCTATACTGGATCAGATTCCTTGCTCATCTAGTCTAGTCTGTTCTCACAATGGCCATCTGCACAAGGAATTCCATAGTTTTCTTAAAGATGGCTTTCAGAGGCAATCACACTGCAATCAAGGTAGCCACTGATTGCCATAACTTCCCTGAATTGTTTCAACACTTTTTGAAGCCAACCGAGTTTGTAGCCAGCTTTCCCTAAACTTCTATGTGAGGCTACTGGCCAGGGTCATGTATCAGTATGAGTTCAGATATCAGTATTTGATATTTAGTTGTATTATCTCAATACTTGGCTGATCTGTCTCTAGATTGGGAGGCTTTAGGCATCTGGATTGGAAAGAACAGGCTCAGAATTAACCTAATGAAACTGAGTGACTGTGGATTTTCCACTCATCAATTTACTGTATTGGGAAGTCCTATTCATTGTCATTCATGTGTTAGTTACCTATTGCAACATAATATACATGGGGCTGCTCTTATCCATTGCTATGTTTAGGGAGTTGCTAGTAAATATTCCTATTGTGATTTTTTTTCTTCTAGGTTATAACATGGCTGACAACCAGATTGACCCATGTCTATGCATGGCAAAACTTAATGAACATTGTCAGAAGAACTTTTTACAATTGGAGTATAGAGACATTTATAACACAGCCTCATCACATGATCATTTGTAAGTTGATGAACAATATCCAGAGATCATAAAAAGACAGTACTTCCCCCCCCCCCTTATATATGTGTGCTGTGGAGCAAAATGTTTTTCATAATAGTAAGAACTGTCCACCTCCCTTGGCTGTTTATTCCCAACCACTACTTAATAGCCCTGCTATGTAAAACATTTCTGATTTTTTACAACCTCACTGGACTGGTCCAAAATTTATTCTCTCTACTTTTGTTTTACTTCCCAAATCATGTTACTACTTTGGATAAGAGGTGATGACACATGTTCTGTATAGCTTTCACACTTGGTCAATAAAGAATTCAATTCTGTTCTGTTCTAGTCTAGTCTAGTCTAGTCCATTCCATTCCATTCTATTCTACTATATGTCTACTGATGCCGGGTTCTTAATTAAAAAAATGTTCATCGGCATATAGATCAGTGGCTCTTAAACTGCGGGGGCTGACTAAGGAAATACTTTGGGTATATCCTGGGGTAATAGAGCAGTCTGGGGTTTTTTATGTGGGGATAATGGCATTATTGAGACAGGGAAAAATGAATAATTGTGTCAGCTTAGGAACCACTGTTACAGATATTGTATACCCTGTCCTTGTTTACTGGCTGCAGTCTGTTCCATCAACTTTGCCATTAAGCTACATGGTTACTAAGTGAACTGTGTGACACACACACACACACACACACACACACACACACATAGAGGGAGGGAGAGATTTTATGAAGATGATTGGTTGCTGCTGTCTGATTCAGATTAAAGTTATCTTATAAGTGTCCTGGGTCAGACTTGTTTTCTCCCGTTCCTTTTTTGCATCCTTCCACAGCAGACTGTGCTTAAAAAGCTATTTCTTCCTGGAGTGTTTTTCTCCACAGAACAGTGTGTCTAGGGGTGGGATTCTACCAGTTCACACCTATTTGCTAGAATCGGTTGTTAACATTCTAAGCAGTTTGGAGAACCGGTTGTTAGAAGAAATTACTGGCCTAATCCCGTAAGGAAGGCAGGAAAGAAACATTCTGGAGTTGCTTACAGAAACTGCCTCTCCGTTAACCCTTATTACATTCTTGGCAGGACTAGACTTCCTGTCTCAGGAACTTCTCTGGAGTTTTTCCCCCCTCCTTTGCTGGTACTTTGCTTGTGTGGAGTGACCATTCAAAGTTACAATGGCACTGAAAAAAGTGACTTATGACCATTTTTCACACTTACGACTGTTGCAGCATCCCCACAGTCATGAGAGGCCAGGTGAAGAGATGCATGCCTCGATGTGAGTGATATTAAGTTGGCCACACCCACCCAATAACATGATCACCAAGCCATGTCCACCCAGTCACATGACCACCAAGCCATGCCCACTGCCTAAGCCATGCCCACAGAATCGGTTGTTAAAAAATTTGAATCCAGCCCCTGAGCATGTCCGTAAAAAGTGCTGACCATAAGTTAAGGAGCTGAGTTCTGTGACCTTAATGAGTTGATAAGAACTCTTTGGCAAGCTGGCCTCTCCTACCTGAAACTGACCAAATTTTAATCATACTGAAGGCTTTTGCTATCGGGCATTTAAAATTTGGTCCTGGGTGTAAGTGTTGGTCAGAAAGTGATATTTTTATTATTATGGTTGCTATCTATTTCAAACGGTGCTAACTGAGGTGGTCACTAAATGAGAAGTGGCTCTATCCCTGTTCTTCGTGCCCAGCATTTAGCTAGAGGGATGGTTTCAAGACAGAGACAGGAATGGAAATGTAGTTCAGAGAAAATAGCCTTGTTCTCCTATCAGATCCCTTACTGGAATTTGGGGAATCTGAGATTTCATAAAACAGCCCCTGCCCATCTGGATGATTTCAGGAGAAAAGGGAAACAAATGATGGTTGTGTCTTCCAAGATTATCCTGTTGTTAACTTTTTCTGATGATGGAGAAAATGGGAGGTATAGTTGTGCAATGGAGTGTATTTTGCAGATGATACATCTCTCCTCCCTCTTCACAATGTTTTATAAATTACTTTTCTTCACTGTAGATTCACTGTAGCAGTTTTCATTGACAAGGTCCAATATGAATCTGCCACTGGTAAAACCAAGAAAGAAGCAAAAGCTCTGGCAGCTGTATTAGCCTGGAATACCATACAAGAGCAAAAAAAGGTAAGCGGAGGAGTGCCTACAGACCAAGATCTAAATCACAGTTCCCCCAATGTTTCCAGCTTTGTGGACTAGCAGGGAGGAAGGGACTGGTTCATGCAAGTGGCCAGCATGCACGCGCATGAAACTCCATTTGTGCAAGAGGCATGCATGTATGTCTTCTGCTCACATAAATGGAGCATGAGCACCCATGCTTGCCCATTGCTTGTGCAAGTGAGGATGCATGTGTGCGTGTACTCGCCAGCCATTTCCACAGCCCAGTTGCAAAACCCTAATAGCCCACTTGTGGGCCACGGCTCACAGCTTGGGGAACCCTGATCTAGACAGCAGGTTTGAGCAACCAGGCTCATATTTTAAATAAGAAAGGATAGTTTGGGGTTCCTCTCAGTAGAGAGCAGGATCAACTTGTCTTCTAATCATAGCATTGCTATGGCAGCATTCTGCACTTATCAGATAGCTATTTTTTCAATGTACCAGGTCGCTGCTACATTCAATGTGCCAGTCGTTGCTTCGTATAATTGTGAATCCTTTTCAAGATTCTTTTTGGGGTTTGAAAGTTTAAATTAAAAAAGATTCTTCTCACCTAGTTCCAAATACTGTTCACCAACTTCAGTCCAGCACTATTCTTAGATGTTTCTCGGCTGTCCCAACTTCATGTTCCTCACCTATCCCAATTCGACTGGCCATTTTTGACTGCCTCTTCTCTTTGTTGTGGAATAGAGCAGGGGTCCCCAACCGCCGGTGGTCCGCGGAACAAGTCTTACCGGGCCGTTGGTTGCTGGGCGCCGCCATCTTTTTTTGGTAAAAAAGTGCTTCCGGTGAGCTTTTCCGGGTAGAAAGCTCACCGGAAGCACTTTTTCATCAAAAAAAGATGGCGGCACCCAGTTGATGCCGGTACCGGGCTGCGGCGCCCAGCTGGTGCCGGTACCGGGCCGCGGCGTCAAAAAGGTTGGGGATCACTGGAATAGAGGGAAAAAGCCCTGGGGTTCAACAGGAGAGTTGCGATCTCTCCTGTGGCCTCACAGAGCTCCCCTCCTTAGCTTTGCCACCCCACCAGGGCGGCTTAGGCTCCTTTCGGAACCCACAAACAAGGACAAGCCAGCACAGGAGAGCCCCATTTATCTGTATCTGGTATCGTAGCAATGTCTGTCAGATGTCGCTGCATAGGTTAGGTTTAAAGGTGTATATATTTTCAAACTGGAATTGATTAGGATAAGCTGACTACATTGTAAAAATCAGACCAACCCTGAAAAAAAACTTTAAACAAACATGGTTATATATCTACATGGTGAGCTTCCTTAATATATTCTTGCCTATTGTGTCCATAAAGAGTCGTTAGAATTATTTTTCCTTTACTGTGGAAGTTGAGATCAAATTTGGAGAATGGCAACAGCCAAAGTGAGTAGGGTTTGTCTAGGTTTGGGAGAGGATTAGAAATTTACCTTTTAAAATACTTATTTTAGGAATTAATCTAGTTTTCATGTTTGTCACTTCAGATTAAGAGGCAACTACCATTTCTTAGAGCTTTAGGACAGGTCCCCTTGGGGGTTCAAGGCCATGAGTTGACCACCTTTACTGTAAAGTCAAATTAGGCATTCCCCAGGAAGTCTGTGCTGTCCTTTCAGTGATTAACTCCAGGTAGCTGATTCTAAGGAGTGGTACCTACAGGGGAAGGGGTGCTACCTTTTATGCTTTATTTCCCCTGTAAACCCTGCCTCTCTTTGCACAGTTTGAAGGGTTTTCAACTTTTGCTAAGTGCTACTGTCGGGCACATCACCTCATGTGGAAACTCTCTCAGCAAGTTGTTTTTTCTCTGTAAAGCAAGATTTTTCAAGATTACACAAAAACATCTTTGACTTCCTTCAAACTAACAGATTTATTATGACATAAGCTAAAGCTAACTTGATCAAAATTCCATTTCTACTGATAGACTACAGGATATCTCCCCCACCCCCAGTCCAAAGCTTTCTATAGCTTGCACAATTCTTCAACCCGCATATATTTTACATAGTCATGTGCGGTGATAAAGTAGATCTGCCCTTCCTTTCTCATTTTTTTTTTGCCTTGGGTAATTATATATTTGTGATCCGTTGTACATTTTGCTAAATCAGAACAATACTTTTTCCAAAAATACTGCAATTTATGTTACTATCTCTCTTTACAAGAGATAATAAATTAAGAGCAAGTTATCTGCTCATTGCGCAGGAGTCAAAAGAACAATTTCACTCTCCTCAAGCAGATTAACTTATGCTTATTTTTTTTATAGGGAGAACTGGATTCATGTGAGCAGCACAAGGAGCCAATTAGCTATGTTTCCTGGCTTTACGAATATGCATCAAAGAACAATGTGAAAATTCAGTATAACTGCATATCTAAAACTGGAGTGCAACATAAACCAGTGTGAGTTACTGATCAATATTTTATCTTGGGGAATAGGGTTGCATTTAAAAAAAAATCTCTTGAGATATGAGGGTGTTATTGAATTTTATTCATAGGAGACTGGTTCACTCATTGCAACGAGCCATAGTTTTATTTGACAGTGGTTTTTTGAATAATGGTGGGGTACATGCACCATGCGGAGTCATGAATCATGGTTTATAAATCACAGTAGCTGTATTTACATATCACACTAAACCCAAAGTAAATCTTTTCACACAGAGAATGTGTGAACCAGCAGATGATGTTGCATACAAACAAATGCAAGTTTAGGCTGCAACAATAGGAATGTAGCTCTAATAACCAGATTTGTCATATATAATATATTGTTACATATTTTAACAAGCCTTGTTTTGGCTTAGAAGATAAGCAGAATCACACCATCATACAATGTAAAGGTTTGAAGAGATTTAGTGCAATCCCTGCCTGGGGATCCACTGATAGGGCATCCCTAATAGAGGATAATCCATACTCTGTTTAAATATTGCCTGTGAAAGAGAGTTCACTGTCTCCTGAAACTACATTTTGTGGAAAGAAACCTTTTCTTGATGTCCAACTGAAATCTATTTCCTTGTAAGTCAAATGGATTATTTCCTCTGGAACAATTTTGAACAATTTTGTCATGTCTTCTCTTACAGACAATGCAGTTTAGCCAACATAGAATAAAAAAGGAACAGTGATGTTTTAATGTTCTGGTTTTAAGGTTGACATGTGTGGTACTAAAAAAGTTTGTGAATCCTTTTGAACGTTCAACATTTTTGCATAAACATGATCTAAAAGTAAACTGTTCTCCACATGTCCTAAAACTAGATGAAGAGTACCCAATTAAACAAATGAATAAAAAAACATTGCATTGCTCATTTATTTACTCAGGAAATATATACTGCTATATAGCTATGTATAAATAAATTATGTATTTTTAAAGATTGATTACTAAACCTTGAAGCACTTTAGGTCTATAAACTCAAAGGTAAATCTGACTGAATTGAACTGGGCTTATATTCAGATATATGTATAACATTACAGCTTTTATATCAGAAGTAGGCTCCTTTGGTTTACTGAAAGTTACTTCTAGATAGGTAGGAACTGGTCAGCAGCCTTCTTTTACAACACTGAACATAACTTTTTTCTCCTTTTATATCTTCTAGCTATTTTTATGTGTGTCAGATTGGTGATAAAGAATTTGATGTTGGAAGAGGAAATAAAGTTAAAGCAGCCAAAAATGAAGCAGCCAAACTAGCATATGAAAAGTTGACTAGGTCCTCAACTTTCGGAGTATGTAAACTGAAATATACCATATAGTCTGTGTAATGTTTTGGATAAAAGAAATCAGGTTGCTCTCTAAGTTTCATTTTCTAGTTCCATGGAATGGAATTGTTAACAGGTTGAATTATGGTACAGTCTTCTGACATACAGAAAGAAAACCTTTCAAAATGTTCGAACGTTATTATTTTCATTATAAAAGGTGATATAAAATTTGTGAAGAACAACTTGTATCTAAGACAAGCTTTGTCGCTTGGTGGTCAAGCTGGGGGGAGGGGAACTGGGGCGCATGAGCGGTGTGCTAACACATGTGCAGCCTGATTCATGTGAGTAGCAGGCTGGCGTGCATCTACACGCAGCTCAACGTGGCGCATGTTGAGCTGTGTGCACTTCTGTGTGTGATTGCCAGCCTGCTATTCGCATGAGTCGAGTTGCGCACACAGGCACTCGCTCACCCATCACACAGCCTGTTTGCATTTAGGCAACAGCCTGGTAGTGGCTCATGGCCCAGAGATTGGGGATCTCAGATCTAAGCAACTTATTATTGTTGCATTCATTGTAATTTCTCCAGAGTAGAGTTTATCTGACCATAGTTACTCATGCCTGAATAACATCTGGACAGATCCTTAACATGGTTTGATTGGAAAACTGAACCATCTTTCTCCAATGGGATTGGCCTGTCCCACTTGTGCTGGTAGAAGGGGGGCCTACTGCGGATCCCATCAGCCAAAGAATTTCAGCTGGTGGGATCCAGGAGAAGAGCCTTTTCTACCATAACTCCTGCCCTTTGGGACATCTTTCCACAGGAGGTAAGATCCTCCCTCTTTATTTTAGCCTTCAAGAAAGTCCTTAAAATTTGGCTATGCTGGCTGGCATGAGGTCCTAATAGTAATAGCACTTAGACTTATATACCACTTTACAGTGCTTCACAGCCCTCTCTAAGTGCTTTACAGAGTCAGCATATTGTCCTCAACAATTTGGGTCCTCATTTTACTCACCTCGGAAGGATGGAAGGCTGAGTTGACCTTGAGCCTGGTGAAATTTGAACTGCCAAATTACAGTCAGCCAGCAGTCAGCAGAGTGCAGTACTGCACTCTAACCACTGCGCCACCATTGCTCTTCTTCTAAAGAAGAAGCTGCTTGCTGGAGGTGGTTGGTAGATTAACAGAGAAGACAGCCTCTTCTCAAAACCCTTGGTTTTCAGTTTGTTTTATTTTTGTGATATTAATATGTTTTATATTTATAATA